AATATCAATCTACAACCCAGTGTGTCTGAAGTATTTAATTTTTTTAATTTTTTTTTATTGTTCAATATATATATATATATATATATATATATATATATATATATATATATATATATATTTATTGATTTTCTATAGACATGCTTTTGAAACAGCATGTCTATAGAAAGTCGAAAATAGAGGATCTTTATGTCGCATAATTTTTCATACTTAAATGGGAATATACTTCTATTGTTTGAATTTTCGTTCTGTATAAAACTATTTTGGAATATTAAAAATGTTAGGTTCCATTTAAAAGCAGTTCAAGATACAAAATGATGAGGTAAAAATATTATCATATTTTAATTTTTATTTGCAATACTAATTATTGCAATAATTATTATTACTCAGATTATACAATGTTACTTCAACCAATTCCAAAAAGAAATTAATAAGAAAGTGTTTACTTTAAAAAATAAAACACATGTGAAAACTGATATCACACTAAATGCCTTTCCATTCAAGTAATAATTATAATCCAAGGATGATAATTTATACTAATTTTAGTATTCACCATATTACAATTTTCAAAGGAGAAGGTCATTAAAAAAACAAAACAGCGATCGTCTGCTTAGGGGGATTCATATTTATTGAAGTAACTTAAAGTATGGATGCCTCCTTTTTGTGTCTGCAGTGTCAATTTCTTTCTAGGTATGTTTTTACAAAATAATAATTATATTTTTTATTATAGACACTTGTTTCTTCCCTGGTTTTATTTCAAAATGACGGTGACAAACCAGCGTTCCTCTATTTATTTTAAGAAACACAGTGGATACTTTTCTCCGTAGTGAAAGTAAAAAATTGACGACCGCTGTTATAAAATATTTGCCAATAATCAGGGAATTATCTGATTCAAACGAAATTTTCAAGACTTATAAATGAATTAATAATTTACTCTATAGGTGACTTTATTAAAAAAAATTTGGGAATATATTTTGGGGGTATTTTTCACATTCACTTTTTGATATCGCGTGCATACATTTTAATTTATAGGGGGTCTTTCTCTAAATTTTTTACAGTCATATAAAAAGGAATTCTGAAGACACTATTTCAGCAAAAGATTATGCAAACTCGAATGTGAACAATCCACAACTGCCAAAAACAATCCACTAAAACTAAAAAAATAACAATTTTGAGAATTGGTGCTTGCAAAAAATGTTATTTTCTTTCAGATTTGACAGAAAAAAATCTAAAATTAATATTTATTTTAAAAAATACTTGCAAAAAAATAATTTCAGTGCAATTTTGAAATTCATCCCGTTGCTGTTTATCAGAAAAGCTTATTTTATTAAAAAAAACAAACAAAAAAAACATGTCTGAAGATTTAAAGAATGCAAAGTTTAATGTCATTTTTCGAGTGTGAACCTTTTTAAAAGAATTTTATTTTATTTTTCCTTTTAGCAACTTTTAGATTTTTTTTTTTTTTGGTATGGATGTACAAAAATGAAATAATTCTGACATCTCGCATTGAATGACTACTAGTCAATATCGGAGGAGTATTATCATATTAATCTAATTTTATGTCCCCCATTCAGCGAATAAAATGGTATCAGAGGCTGGATTATTTTAATTCCGTTTAAAGTAAAAGGTAAGCATTACTTTTAGAAAATTAAGTTAATTAATCCTTTCTAACACTTTCGCCCCAGCCCCTCAACCTTCGACGTCTTACTCTCTGGGTTGAGGTGTCTACTCGGTCCTAACCGAACTTAAGGGAGTGGCCGTAGATCCCCTGAGCATCCGTCGATTATTCGACCGGTCCACTGGTTTAATCCTGCCTCCTGCCCACGTTGTGTTTGGTTTGATCCAGAAAGCAGATGTTCATCCATTCACGGTTGACTGAAGATGTAGACACAGTCGGAGAGTCTGCGCTAAGAAATTTAGAATCCAGCAAAAAAAAATCAATATCTGCAGAAAGCCGGACAAACAACTATTCAGTGGTTGAATTGTTAATGTCTTTTATATAAGCAGAAAAGAATAGTAGAGAAAAGAAATGGGTTACAGAAAAGAAAAGTAATTGACGTAAAAACACATACACTGGATTCTAGACACAGAGAGAGTGTGTTATGATTAACTTGTTGTTAAATCGTTTCAGAACGATATACGACTTGCGATGGGGGAATAAGGTTTCTGTGCGAGGCTTAAAGTTTATAGTGGCGTTCCTCCTCGACGATAGTAACAGTAGTAGTAATATTCGTGGTAGCAGAAGCAGCGGTACTTATATCAACAGTACATTGGAACGCTTCGTTCCAATCTCTGACGTCACGTTCTCTCCTTCTTGAGTCTCCAACTCGACTCTGAGTCTCTAGCCCAACTCTTACCCGGGCTAATTCTCTTCTGTCTCTCTCTTCCGTTTGTACGCTCGCCCGTCTGCCTCTTCCATCTCTCTCTTCCGTCCGCCTATTTTCAGCATAACTACGCGTTTATATAGAAAAATCCAGCTGGTTACAACTGAACCTTGGCCCTACTGCTTTGCACGTGATGATCACGGGGTTTTGGCTGTTTCAATCAAAATCATGTGAATTCAAAAGTTCCTTCTAGCTTAATCAGCTCTATTTCAATTTTTAATCGATAAAAATTATTTCGACCATTCCATTGTCCTCGGATAACCCAGATTCAATGGGTACAACTTCTGCGCTAAATCAAATTTCCCCATCGGTAAACAAAATGCTCTGATCTAATTTCACAATTCAAATCCACCCAATTTCACTAAAAAAATAATATGCGTATGTGTGTTTCCCAGACTCTCTCTGCCACACCTTAAATTTACTAATAAACTTCGAACTCCATCTCTAGTACAAATATTGGATTCTAAAGAGAAATTTAAATTTGTTGTTTAAATTTTTCGTATACATTACGGCGATGATGTGTCGATGAGTAACCAAAAAAGTACTGATCCTTTAAAAAAGTCTAAAAATTATTTAAATACAGAAATAAATTTTCTTTTAATTCCTGTTAGGTTTCAGACAATAATCTTAAGAAAAACAACAGAAATTTATGTTCAAAGAAAGCATTTCAAATATTAAAATGTATTTTTTGTTTTTTAGAAAGCCCGTGGCGGTACCCAATTTATTTATTTATCATTAAGTAATGTGACACATATAGCCTCTTTAGCATAATGAATTGTATAAATATATGTTGTGTTATGCATATTTAAATCTATTTAACAACTAGTTTAAAAGTCGCCCTGTAAGCTAGATCCTGCGGAGGTCTCATGATTGGACCTTCGGCTTATTCAGGAGTTTGAGAGTCCCTAAGTCTTTGCATGTTCTCAGATTTGAAGCACTCCTCGCTGCCGTTTGATTTGGGTTTTCATTTGTATGGGGCTTTCTTTTTATTTGCTGCAGCCTTGGCTCTTTTAATTGCAATCTGGTGCTCTGTTTGCGGAAGTTTAATTTTGCGGAGTATACTGTAAACAATAAACTACAGAAGAACTCAAAATTGATCGCTGCATTTAAGTATTGCATTAATATTTATGCTTACCTTTTAAAAGTTCAACGATAATTATTCTGTCGCCACTTAATCTAAAGACAATTTGATGTGCGTAGGTTCTTACTTTCCCTACAATTATTTTTATTTCACAGGTGACGTTCGCTGGATTTCGCAATTAATTTCGATTATTCCTAAATTTATTTCCAAGTTATAAAGATTGTTATCATACAAAAAAAATTCGTCCTAAAAATCACATAAAAAATTCGCCGAAAATAATAGCAGTAATGAAAACCTGGGATTCCAAAATTTTCTGTAGCATGAGCTATTGAAAGTTAGAGAGTTGTGTCCCTTGAATTGAAAAATGTGACACAGTGACACACTGACATTCGCAATTATTATATAGATGTTGATATAATGCATTATGAATGTTTAGTATTTTTAACACGGATAATATGGTGGAACAATATGCAAATATCTGTTTATATACGCGGATTGATAGAAGAATGTTAATCGCAAACAAATACTGATTTAAAAAAAAATACAATAAAAAGAGACAAACGACCCTAACTCAAGAACCCCTTGTCTAATTTTAATGAAATTTTGCACTGCACTCGTCAGGGGTTCAAGATACAATATGCTCCTAAACTGGTTGGGCTAGTAGGTATTCTTTAATCTGTATTTCGGAAACGCACATACATGCAAGATTACAATTTTAGTATTATATATATATATATATATATATATATATATAAAGAGATATTATGTTATGTTATTAAGATACCTTTAGTAAAGGAACATTTTCACAGGATTTTTAAAACTGTTTATAGTATCAGTTTGTAGTGTACTGTTTATTTGGAGAAAGAAACAGAGAGAGCATGTTATAGGGGACTTATTGGGAGGTATGGGGAGAAGAAGAAGACACCATAACTGGAATCATATTATGGATGTTGGAGAGCCTGGGTAGGGGGAGGGCGAATACCGATGAGCTGACCTACATCCTGATAGTCACACGGTCAAAATTTAATTCGACGGGAATTCATGGAAATTAACGAACACGTGAAAAAACAATCAAGCGGTAACTTTGGTAAAATGAAAGAGAGTTAAATCGGAATTATTGGTATTAAACTCGTCCATATATCAGAGCCCAAAGCGAATTTATATATATATATATATATATATATATATATATATATATATATATATATATGCGTTCTCATGCGTTTGTCTACGTTAATAATACCTACTCATATAAGCTGTCTACACTAACTTACACTAAGATATTTACATTTAAACACATACATACATATGCTAGCTGGCATGTATCTACAAAAACCCTATGTTAGGATGAAACATTTTCGACTGGTAATAAGAGGAGTTTAGTTAAGTTAGAAAACCTCAGGCATAAACGTAGTATAATTATACGGAATTACCAGACGAAGGTGAGAACGAATTAATATTGCTTGGTACGAATGTATAATCACTAATTTTTTCCTAGATATATATTCTTAGGTCACTTCTTCAATACGTAATCTAATATGTATCGGTAAGTTACCCTTTAAACAATACGTATTAAATTCTTGTATTAACGAATGTACCATGTGTTAAATATCAAGTTTATAATGGTAGTAAAATTTGATTACTCAAGATTGGATATGCTGAATCGTATATAATGATTATATATAGGGTATAAGCGCTCTTTTGTGAGTCAGTTTTAACATATTTCAAATTGTATGTTGTGTTAATAGGACGCACCTGGATTATATCAACGGATTACTATCTGTCTATCTATCTATCTATCTATCTATCTATCTATCTATCTTGTTCATTATCTATCTATCTATCTATCTATCTCAGTCTTGTTCATTATCTATCTATCTATCTATCTATCTATCTATCTATCTATCTAAAATTAAAACGTACGTTTACATACGTAAAAACAATAGACATGGAATTAGCATACGCTGCTGACAGAGTCTGGATGTTACAAGTGGTAGCGATTCTGTGTGACACCGCAACGGATGGGTTTCAATCTAAGGTCGCAGTTTTAATTATTATCTTTTAATACCTTTCTATATGCAATAGTATTGATTCACTTTTCCAACTTACATTAATGAAAATGGAAGATCAATACTAATTTAATCTCATTTTGCTTTTTATTTTTATATGGATTTTACCACCTATTTCTCCCTAAAAAACTCAAAATTATATTACTCGAATTATTTTTCTCCTTAACACTGTTTTATCCCAAAATAATATGAAAGATAAAAAAAAAAAGATATCTAATATTGTAACCTATACTTTAACTGTCTCTAGCTACAAATTATTTTTACTTGAAGCACCAACCGAACCAACCTAGGAGACCGTTGAAGTTCAAATTTTAAATTCTAACGGAATTCAATGGCCGGATTTTATCTCCTCTAAGCGCTTATCACCTCCTCCTCTTCCCACGGCCTCTTTATTTATTTTTTTCATCTTCCTTTTCTTCTCCCTTTCCCCATTGGTCTTTTCCCCTTCCTTTTCGTTTGTCTGCGACTACTTAATGAATTAGATTCCCTTCCATCTCTACATGTAAATTCGAGAAGACATTTTATGAACATTTCCAAAGAACGGAAGTGGATGATATTTGCTTCGATAACTGTATTTCTGAATAAAAGTTTTTAGTAACATCGTGATTCCGCACCTGATGAGAGGTTTAAAAAAGGTTTTCCTTTTTGACGTTGAAACAAAAATGTACAATTTTGTAGTGGATATGTGCATGTTCTAATGTAACACTGCATAAGATAAATATATATATATATATATATATATATATATATATATATATATATATATATATATATATATACAGTAGCGGCCATAATATAAGGAACGGAAACAACAAAGACATAAATATGTGTATTACTTAAAAAGTAATCCATGATTAGCAATGAAATTTTTACGAATAAAGATTAGGATGTAATGCATAAATATTATACAAAGTTACAAAAATTTACATAATAGTTTTTTTTAGATAAAGATTAAATGGAACAAAGGAAATAAGCTACTGGACAAAAATTAAGGAACGATGTTAATAATTTGCATAAACTTTTAATCTACCCTGTTAAAAAAACTCGATGGAGCTTTTCAACAATAAGTAAAAGTTCATTTATCACTAGGACTTTATTTTTAATCAATATGGCAAATTCTACATGCAAAACGCTCTCTTTTGAAGAAAAAAAGCTCGTTATCGCTAACTATCAAGAAAAAAAAGTACATTTCAGAAATTTCTGATATTGTTCATAGGTCGTTCATCGTGTAATTAGCAGGTATAAAACCGATAAAACGTTAGATGCAAACCTAAAAACCAAAGAATTGTTAGAATATCTACAAAAACCGTTTTGAAACTGCTACATCAATTGCCCGTAAATTTAATGAAGAGACAGATAATAAGATCTCAAGGAAAACGGTTGCCCGCAGGTTAAAAAATGCAGGATTGCATGCCCGTATTCCAGCTTCGAAGCCTCTCATTTCAAAGCGAAACCAAAGGGCACGCCTGGAGTATGCGAGAGAGTATGCTGTTTGGACTGACGCACAATGGGATACAGTTCATTTCAGTGACGAGTCCAAGTTTACTATATTTGGTTCTGAGGGCAAAACTTACGTACGCCGTAGAACAGGTGAAAGACTGTCTTCTCAATGTGTCAAGAAAACCGTTAAGTTTGGTGGCGGCAGTGTGATGGTGTGGGGAATGATTTCATCTGCAGGAGTTGGCCCTATCATCCGCATACAAGGTAATATCAATGCTGCGATTTACAAAATCTTTTTCAGCAGCATGTGGTACCAAGATTACACCATAATCTTTATGAATCTCCTATTTTCATGCAGGACAATTCACCTTGCCACAAGGCTCAGAAGGTTATGGCTTTATTTGAAGAAGGAATCGCCCTAATGAAGTGGCCAGCCCAGAGCCCCGACCTGAATCCAATGGAAAATCTTTGGAAGATAATTGGAGAAAGGGCTCAGAAAAGAAACCCCAAAAAACAGGATCACCTATGGGAGTTATTGAAAGACGAATGGGAGGGAATTACTGCTGATTTTTGCAAGAAGTTAATTAGATCATGTTGTCAACAATGCAGAGAAGTCATTGAAAATAAGGGGATGTTTACCAAATATTAAATTTTGTTGATATTTTGTTCACAATCAAGTATTAACAAGATCTTTCCTTAACTTTTGTCCAGTAGCTTTTTTCCTTTGTTCCATTTAATCTTTATTAAAAAAAAAAAAAAACTATTATGTAAATTTTTGTAACTTTGTATAATATTTATGCATTACACCCTAATCTTTATTCGGTAAAAATTTCATTGCTAATCATGCATTACTTTTTAAGTAATACACATATTTATGTCTTTGTTGTTTCCGTTCCTTATATTATGGCCGCTACTCTATATATATATATATATATATATATATATATATATATATATATATTGGATTTTTTCATAATCGAACTAGTAAGAGTTTTAATAATTTAAGAGCATCCCTGTGTACCTTCTGGATTGATCTCAAAACTTATGCACGAGAGAGCCATTGTATATTTTATACATTTTCACAAGTCAAAGACGAGTAGCCTTTTTTTATTGATGAATAAATTTTAAATGAATTAATAAGTTTTATTTGATCCTTATTTTTTAATCAGCAAATGATTCAGAACAAAAGAAAAATGACACATATTATAATAAGTCAGCTTCCACTGCGAAATGTCAAATATTAACAAACGCACAGATTAATCGATTACTTAAGAGCAAATGTGAAAAGCAGACGATTCTTTTGAGTAATTCAAGTTGCAGAATAAATCTTATGGCAACTCCTGCCTTACAACTATGACCAATCAGAGCTTGGTGTGAAAAAAATTTATCCTAACCAACCATTTTTTATAACTCAAAACTAACTCTAAAATCCGTGGTTAACCTCTATATAAAGACTGTAACAAATCATAGGCTACACTTCAAATCACAAGTTATGTGCCATGCGTTTATTATGCATGGCACATTCGATATATGACTGACGAGGCAGATTTTTTGACAACCTACTGCGAGACCTGTCCTGCTATTTACACATAGCACAGAAGAAAACGATTCATACCTTTCCCAAGGGTATTAGTACGTAAGTGAATGTAATGGATTCGACTGGAATTCGAACCCAATCCTCAATCCGAGCTGCTATCCATATACACCACCGTGCACCCCCTTTTAGAATACATATTTAGATGTATTTAGAATACATTCCTTACATCATTTTTTCCCTCTAGTACACAACTTCACTACTTCGGACTGACCTCCGATTTAAGTTTCACCAACTCGCCCGCGTTAATCTAATCGATCTACAATTGGGCTCTTCCTGACATCGCGAAATAACTATGTCCTTTTTACCAAGTGTTTGTTACTAAACTTTACAGCAGAAACAAAGCTATTTCTTCAACACTGTCTAAATTTAATCTTCACCAACTAAAATTTCCTACAGTTTTTTCAAAATTGACGGCCTCAGAAGACATTAGAGTAAAGTATTTACGCAAGCAAATACAACCAAACACTCAGCCAACTACAGACACATGAACGCAACTTATACGTGCACACACACACACATACTCACACATGTGTGTGCATGTAGTCAGATGCACTACACTGCAATGAACACGATTTTGGCCTAATAAATGCCGGTTTGATTAGAAGAGAAAAGAATTTACTAAGAATAAAATGCATTGAAAGGGCGCTGATCTTATATTGGAGTTTTTGCTTTAGTGATAAAAACACAATAAATGAAGTTACTACGAATGCCACAAAATACAGTATAGGAAACAAAAACTAAATATATTAACAACGAAAGTTAATCTCCTTCGCTTGAAAATGGCTAAAGAATTTACCGAAAGCGCTTGGGACAATAGAGAAAACAAAAATAAAGAAAAAATACGGTAATACAGGAAAAAAAGAAAAATAACGACTGAAACATAATTGAAGAAACAAAAAAAGAATTGAAAACAGAAAAAAGAGGGGGAAAAAAGTGAAGAAAATAGAGCAAGATACAAAAATGAAGAAAAAAATAGAGCAAGATACAAAATGAAGAATAAAAAAATAGAGAAAAGAAAAAAAAAGAAAATGTCAAATAGATAAAAGAAAGAAAAAGAAAGCAATGTAAAATAGATAAAAGAAAGAAAAAGAAAGCAATGTCAAATAGATAAAAGAAAGAAAATGAAAGCAATGTAAAATAGATAAAAGAAGAAAAAGAAAGCAATGTAAAATAGATAAAAGAAAGAAAGAAAAAGAAAATGTCAAATAGATAAAAGAAAATGAAAGCAAAATAGATAAAAAGATAAAAAAAGAAGAAAGCAATGTAAAATAGATAAAAGAAAGAAAGAAAAAGAAAGATACAAACTGAAAGAAACAAACAAACAAAAGAAGAAAGAAAGAAAGAAAGAACGAAAGAAAGAACGAAAGAAGAAATAGACAAAAGAAAATAGTCCAAAAATGAAAGCTGACCATATACGAACAGAACGATACCTACGCTCGTTTCATGTAAGAAGAGAAAACTAAAATATCAGAGAGTTGTAGAAATAAGTGAGCGTAGGACCGGTAACAAATAAATCGCTTTCATGGTCTTTGAAGTTAGTCCAATCCAAAGACTTGTCGTACGCGCCGACAACCTTTTTTCAACAACTACCTTAAATCGATTTTTTCATGGTCTTTAATTTCCACTTATTTAGTCGAAATCTTTTTTTTATCGATTCAATTGTTCATTTATTATGCAATAAATGCGTTTTCAATCCGTACACACGAAACGACTACTTTTTTTTAAAACTTCTATTTTACTCCACAGATTCTCTTTTTATTCTGTGAATTGCCAACTCTTTTGATAAAGACAGTGGAGCCATTTTGGTTTATTG